TGTAGAGTTGGGTTACACAACTAATGTTTCATCAATGCCTTTCTATTTTTGTGCATGCATAGAACTTGACAGGATTTTGTACATGTGCAGAATATCGGAAATGCATGGAGCAAAGCAGGCCTCAGTTCCTTTTTCATTGCAATGGTTTCTGTAGCACGGTCTTAATCATGATAACCCACTGAAGAGCAGTCCTAGGACTCAGCTAGACTGGTAAAGAAAACACAATTTATATGTGTTGTATATGCAATATAACATTGTGCCACCAGATGGTGATGTGGTGTCCTATTTTCTCTACCTGTTTTCACTGTTTAAATTTACAACACTTTAAACTGAAACTCTCTTTGATATGTCTAGATCCAGCCCTATTCTCATCCACTGTACAGAGTAGAATGGCCTCCTAAAGGTCAAATGACATGATGTAAAATTTGTCTGCATCAGTTTGGGCTGTGGATATTGTCATGAACGCAGTAGGCAGGGAATGGAAATGCAATCATTTCCTCTCGTACTGTGGTCTTTGAGAGAATCCTCCTTGCTTTGCGTGAACACTCAGCCACCTAGACTGGCCTATATGTTGCCCATACTTGGGTCCTTTGCATTTCGGACCAGTTTTAGTGGACCGAAAACAGCCTGACCTGAAAGCCAGGTTGCAGTAGGAACATTTGAGCTAGAATCAACCCAGTTATTCTTTCCCTGAATATGGAGTAGTAGTATGCAGACATGTTTAGGCTGAGCAAGTGTGGTTGCAAACAGCGCTGACCTCCCAAACCTTGCAAACTGCTCCCTGGCCTCAGCATCTATCATTTTGGCATTATAATGGTAGGGTTGGGCCTTGCCGCTAAATTCAGTTTTATTCAGTTAGAATGGCATGTTCATGGCAGAATCTTTTGCTGCTCTAAAGATGATAAAAATATAACCTACTTTATGCATTATCATGTTTTTATAAGCAATACTTATATCAATAACAAACATTGAAAATACATTAGAAAGTGGGTGGGTTTGTAGTTTTTTGGGGGAAACACTGTTGCATTAGATCAAAGTTATAAGCCACAACATGCCAAAAAATGGCTTACTACTAGTTGCTCCTAAGTCTCGTCACATTGCTTTCAACTGGATACAGTTATGGTTATGCCCGTTGACAGATTTGTGACTAACACACTTTTAATCCGATAAGATAAATAGAGTTGGACCATTACTCCCGTTCGGTAATGATTTTGATCCCATCAGTATTTGTCAACAGAATCTTTAAAGCCAAACATGCAGTCTGCAAGTTTACTAAAAATGCATTTCTTAACATATTGCCAATTCTGTTTGCATGTAAACATGTTAGTTTTTCGTTAACAAATATTTGATAGAAGACACAGCCAAGTAGGAAAATATTTATGAACTGGATTTACCCAGTTCCTGGATAAACAATAATTGGATAATCCAGGGTTTATTAATTTTGCTTATCTAAAAACAAACACCCCCACATGTGGACCCCTACATGTGTCATGACTTTAGTAATGGAAGTGACCTTGATGTGTGACACTTTAAAATAAAATCCAGAATAATTGCATCAGTTCTTATTGGGAATTTTGTTTTCCTCTCTAGTATTAATTTATAGCTGCTCTCCAAGAAGTTACTTCTTTTTGAAGAACGTAGACCACCTTGGTAATACTTCCTGAAATGTGGGATAACAAACATGTTAGGTAATAAATAAATAACTGTACCACATAGGAGATGTTCTGCCATGTGCCCACTGCCAATCTAGAAACTGAAAGGGCAATGCTTTCTGCTGATCATATTTGTATTCTTCAGTGGCTTCAGTCATTGTGGACCATCAGATTCTACTGAATCAATGGATGGTCTCTGTGGGCACTTGAGCTCTTGAATCATTTCAGTCTTTCAAAGAGAGACATGACATTGAAGATGGTCTCTCGATCTGAAAAACCACAATGAACAAGAAACACAATACTTAAATGCAATAGGGTAGATTTGCCATTGTTCTGTCATGATGCAAATGAGGTATGAAACAGTGGCAGTCATAAATTGTTCTGGTGGTATGAACTGGGGCAAGGATGTTGCCCTGGCATCGCCTTGTGGACCTACAGGCTGTCACTTTGGTATCGGGTTAAAGTGGAAGGTCACCAAGTAGATCCAAAACAGGTTAGCTTGCTTCACAACATTGCAACTGTAGATACAAGGTGAATCTTGTGGCTGGTGCACATACCTGGTAGATACAACATAACAATGGCATATGCCACCTTCAGTGTAATAGATTATATGTTGCATAGTAAAGAAATGAGCCTCTTAAGGAAATGTATGCCATTGGAGGGGAGAAGTAATGGATATGAGACTCTAAGATTCCTTCACTTTTGGCTGCCATAAACCCAGGTATACTGACTCCTTTCATGCCAAACATTTGGTAATAAACTTGTAAAATGGGATTGCAATTGTCAGGGAGCATAGGAAGTCTTCCCTTACATTGCTGCACCTAGAAAGTGACCTTGTGTGCATTTGCAAATTTTATATGGCAGTACAGCTCCGTGTTTACATGTTTACCATGTAGAATAGTCCCCCACTTCAAAATGCAATTGGGAGGGAAACCGCATGGAAGTTAAAAGCTCTGCACACAAAGAATAAGCACAAAACAGAAAATGCTAGGCTACAACACTTCTAACCATGTTCGTTTTCCACAGACAGAAAACATTTTCCATGGTGAAGCCATCAAACACGTGATTCCCAAATGTAGTCCAAAGTGCTGCAGTCCAAGTAGGGCTGTACCGTATTATCATCATAATCATTATCACCAATCTTTGTTTATTTATCATCATATACCAAAAAAATGCTCTTATGGTGACTTATAACAGGAGTACAGAACAAATAGAAAATAAACTATTAAACCTGAAAAACAATAAGCAAAGCTAAAGGCGATCCTATATTAAACCCCATGACAGCAAGATCACCATAAAATATCCCAACAGCAAATACCAGCAGTAGGCATAAAGGTAAAATGAAATGCCAGGAAGAAAAGACACATCCTTGCCTGGTGCCAAAAATATGATAACACTGGCACTAGGTGGATCTCTCAAGGAAGAGCGCTTCATAGGGGAGGGGCCACTGCTGAAAAGGCCCTCTCCCTTATGGCTGTACTTCTGTCAGAGAGGGTATTTGGCAGTCCTCTCTTTATAACCTCAAGGTTCAAGTAAGCACATAATGGAAAAAATGCATCCTTGGTAGTGGGGCACCAAGCTAAGTAAAGTTCTATGGGTAAAAAGCAGTGCTTTGAATTTTCCCTGGAAAGTGGGAACATTTTGGATGCCAGTGCAGCCAGACTAGAATTGTAATATGTTCAGAGTAAGGATCAGGTTGTCACATCCATTTTATATACACCTGAACAGTAACTTTGTATGCTGCTACTACTATGACTGATTTTACAGATTAAGTCAACACCTGCCAGCTACTTACATTACACCTTCTTTCTCAGGTTTCAACCACACTATTAAGGTAAATGATGTCCCAAGCTTCCGAGCGTGGGGAGTGGAAAAGCAACCCTTTAGGTTATGAAAAATAAAGCTTGATGAGTTGCTCAGTGATCCAGGATGCAGGTCATTCTTGTCTTTTGTGATGCAGGCACCCTGACCTTTTGAGAGCATGGCAGCATAAGGGGCAGGTGATGATCTGTATGGGCACTCCTGAATGCAAAACTGCTGGGTACAGGAGAGGATACTTTCGACAGCAGCAGAGCTTTGACAAAAAGCACTCCGGTCTGGCAGCCCACAGGTAGCCTGGGTTGGCACAATGGAAATGTTTTTGAAAGAACCCACATTTTCAAGTCTTGGGAAGTGCCCCTGAGAGCTGGCCAGGAGTAAAGATGTATAATGAGCCATTATGAATGTTTCAATGGCATGGAACAAGAAACCACAGTGCAAGGGAAGAGCCAGGCAAATCATGTTTACAGGAAGGTCTCCTCTTGATAAGGCATCCCTAAATAAGTAATGATGACTGCATCAGTGGCAATGCCCTTGGGTAGCCTGGTTTAGAGATGACGCAGCATTTCATCTTAATTTGAAATCCTGAGGGTGTCGCCCGTCTCATAACCAGCAGCAGACACGTGGGAAGTGGTTAACACCTGAAAGCCAACAGAAAAACATGTATAAGGGAAATGGGTGCTTTGTACATAATCATGCATATACCTAAGGCCAGACTGACCTACATCTGCTGGGGAGGAGAGACATCAGATGCAATAGAAAATCTATTTTATCACTGTAATGGCATATGAATATGATTCTCCCTTGTCTGAGCTTCTTATCTTCTGGATTTAAATAACCCCACATAAATGAAGTTGTATAATACCTAAGCAAAATGCAGAACTAGATATAAGGAAGAATTATAATCACAAGGTAACTTTGATGGGGAAATGCATATGTGAAGCATGAAGCCCACGATACAGGAATTTTTAAAAAAAATATTTTGGCACAACTATCTGAAACTTCAAATTCTGTATTTGCATGTGGACCATGTATTTTATTTCAGCCACAGAGTTTTCTATAGTTGAGCTACATAGAGCCGCAGCTTTACAATTCTATCTTTGAAGTGCAGAGACCCTTAACTCACGCAATGCCAACAACTGCAAGCAAAAAAAACAAAAACAAAAACCCCACCTTCTTAGCATGCAAAGTAATTTAAACATGGCATTTAGAAGTATATAAATGCATGGCACATTTTTGAAAAGATACTCTAAGGTTAAATACACATACACACACAACTTTAAGTTTGCAAAGCACTTTGTGTCTTACCCCGATTGTCCATTTCACGCAGCTCCTTTTAGCTCTCAGCAAAGCTGATTAAAAACATATCACCATCTGTCCTGCGTGACCCTCTTCCTAGCAAATGTCTGTGCTCTTTCCGATACTATAGATAGATAACTTGGCGCATATACGTATATATATATACACAATACCGTGTAATTGTTATTGATAGGTAAGTTGAGTTGTTGTTATTTATTGCATTTCAAAGAGATGACTGCTCAAACCTTCGGTTTGACAATTGGTTCAAATGGCAGGAACACTAGTTCCCGTTGCCTGGCAACCGTGGAGTTACCCCCAGTAATTCTTAGTAAACAGGCCTTGGCAGGAGGCGCTGTGGAAGGAACACTCAGGTTCCCAGGTAAAGTATCTCAGACAGTAAGCACTTTAAGTGGGATGCCAGGAAACTGTCTGCTCTCCTCATGCTTACATGCAGGACTCTTAATCGCAGCGGGGGGGGGGGGTTGAGTCTGAAGCACTCAGGACACAACTGTGCATATCTAATTTTAAAGCAGCAGCGTAGAATATGCCGTCAACACCAATGGGGGTTGTGGGGCAGAGGTTATGTTGCTGTTGTTTTCCTCTCTCTCTCTCTCTCTTAACACGCTTCATGTGTGTGAGGGAAAAGCAGTGTGTCAGCACACTCTCGCATTGTTGCTCAAATTCGAAGCATAAAATATTTAATACAGCCAGTGGCAACAAATTGGTTCTTATTCCCTTCCTTTGTGTTCAGGGGTTTCCATTCCCTGTGTTTCACCTGCTGCTTCAGCCACAGAATCTTTGTAGTTGTCAAAATGGCAGACAAAGCTTCTTTCCCACCAGAGGAAAGCAATACTACAGTATCACCCCCTGGGGGGGGGAGTGGGAGGGGAGGGGAACCCCACCACCAAATAAGTCAGGTTTCCCTGCTCACACCCACACCGTGTGTTTAAAATCCCACCACTTTAATAGCCATGGAGAATCCTGGGAACTATCATTTATTAAGGGTGTTGGGAATTATAGTTCGGCGAGGCCAGCAACCTTAACAAACGAGAATTCTCAGGCTTCACTAAAGTGCCTCAGGTGACAGGGATGGAACAGATTCTAATCGCATGAAGGGGCTGAATTCCTCAATATTATTTACTCAATTTATATCCTGCCTTTCTTTCCGAAGAAGCCCAGGCTGGTAAAGACATTAATAGTAATAATAGTAATAATAGTAATAATAGTAATAATGGTAACAACTATATATATATATATATATATATATATACATACAATCTTTAAATGTTTACTACTTTCCAAAAGCAGCTAACATCCCTTCAACTGGTAGTCTCAATGTTGCTGAGAACAGTGTCTTTTGGCCATTAAATGCCTGAGTAAACAGGAATGTTTTTAAATTCCTTATTAGACTTGGTCATGTGGGAGACAGATGCACCTCACGAGGAAGGGCATTCCACAAATGGGAAACTGCCACCAAAAAGGCCCTGGGTCAATAAGGCTCACACCAGGAACAGTGTTGTATACCAAAAGACCCAGGATCTGAGTGATATATTATCTCACAGGCTTTTTTATATATAAAAAACCAAACTCCATCAGTAGGGCTCCTAAGGTGCAATGTTTTAGAACCAATCAACTATCACAATATTTGTATATGTTCCTCGGTTCATTTGTCAGGTGGCCCAGTAACACAACTAGGGATGGAGAAGAATTTTGGTCAGTCCACATTTTAAAGGCAGTGTGGTGTCGTAGTTAGAGTGCTGGACTAGATGTGAAACTAGGATTCAAATCCCTACTCAGCCATGAGGCCCACTTAGTGACTTTGAGCCAGTCACTGTCCCCAACAGATCCTACCTCACAGGATTGTTGAAATGATAAAGTGGGGAGAGGGAGATGCCACCTTGAGGTCCTTGAAGAAAAGGGGGGATATAAATATAAGAATAAAGAAACACATAAACTGGCCTAATTCATAGCTTCCATACTTACCTAGAATGAGACTGGATTGCATACCACATACCACTCTAAATTTTGGGATGTGGTTTTAAAAAAATAAAATACAGAAATGCATATTTTTACAGGGGGGAAAATGTGTAGGGAAATGCATACAACGCCAGCTGTCAAGATGGCTTATAATAAAAATGTAACCCAAAAATAAAACAGAAAAAGAAATGAAGAGCATAAAAGTAGCAGAATAAGTAAGCGAAACGGTGAAATAAAAAGCAGCTGGGAGAACCAAAATCAATAAAAGAAAGGGTACTCAAACATAGCCCAAATATAGAATGGTTCTTCAAATATAGCCATGGAGACAGGCACACATGGCTGGGATGGGCGTTTCAAAATCTGGTTGTGGCCTAGAAGGTGATGTCATTGGTTCTGCAGTATTAAAAATAAAATAAAAAATCCCAGTATTCCCCTGCATTCCTCTGTGAGGATAGAGTTTTTGCACAGAGCGACATCTGCTAGCAGCAATGGCCAGCTAATTCAAAGTAAAGAAGCAAGAAGAATAATGACTTGAGTCATCTGAAGACATCCCCTTCTCACTTATTTACTTGGAATTTACTTGGCTTTCAAGGTGAGTGGAAACCATCTCCAAAACAGAGTAATCTCTGCCAACAAAGGTCCGTACAGTTAAAGCTATGGTTTTCCCTGTAGTGATGTATGGAAGTGAGAGCTGGACCATAAAGAAGGCTGATCGCCGAAGAATTGATGCTTTTGAATTATGGTGCTGGAGGAGACTCTTGAGAGTCCCATGGACTGCAAGAAGATCAAACCTATCCATTCTGAAGGAAATCAGCCCTGAGTGCTCACTGGAAGGACAGATCCTGAAGCTGAGGCTCCAATACTTTGGCCACCTCATGAGAAGAGAAGACTCTCTGGAAAAGACCCTGATGTTGGGAAAGACGGAGGGCACAAGAAGAAGGGGACAACAGAGGACGAGATGGTTGGATAGTGTTCTTTTTTTAAAAAAAATAATTTTTATTAACCGGCCCATCAAATCAAATCAAATCAAATCACATAAATTCCGAATTACAAAGCCGAATTTTAAATTTTGTTGAGGGGACCCATATTTCAAGATCCGAAGGGGGATTCTGATCATCTTCTTGCTACTGCGTTAATGTCCAAATCAGTCCAAACAAAGTTCATAATTCTATCCAGTCTTATCTTGCTGTTTCCACATCATATATGTTCATATATTTTCTCTTTTTTCTTTATGATCTCTTCTGATAGTCTCCTTAAGCCGATAAACACCAATAATAATCCTGTGTGAATTTTTCCATTCTTCCAATCCTCAAATCGAGATGGTTTCCATATATCATCGCCTTCATAGATAACATCGCTCTTTCCATCTTTAATTACAGAACTGTCGTTCTTAAGTCCCTCTGAGGAGTTTCACCCACAATATAAAAACAGCTCTATTTCTCTATTTCTCCTCCCAGACTTAAGTCCTCCGACAGAACTTCCCAATATGGCGACGGCACTTTTAACTGCGTCATTCCAAAGCCCTTATACATTCCACGCTCTTCTCAAAACATGCTTTGGTTCGAAAGTTTATCTCCACACAGCCTTAAATCCACAGCTTAAGTCCTTAAAACGACATTTCTGACTTGTGGGGGGGGATTCTTGTTTAATCACATAAAGGAAAGAAAGGAAAGTTTTTCCCCCCTCCCCCATCAGTCCCTTTGCCATACCGAGTCTTGGCGTATCTTCTCATGATTTATACTTGTTCCTCCGACTCGTCTTGTTTTATCAGAGATCTCTTCTGTTAGCAGTCTTTACTCCCCCTCCTTCCTTGAAATATGTGCATTCGCTTCATCCAAATTGTTTCTTTTGAAGTTCTTGCAGCTAGTGGCACGGATCAGAGACAGCGTCCAGGAGCACCGAAATCCCACAGGAGGGCATTGTGCCTAGTGCCCCCATCCCCACAAATTCGGGGGTGGTATAGGGCACAGCAGGCAAGGGCAGTCCCCCCCCCCACACAATCCTGGGGGGGTAGGGAGACTATTTACTCCCATCACAGCCTCCAAATTACCTCGTGTGGGTCGGAGAGATGTTATTGTCAGCCATCTTCTGATGCGCCCCTAGTGGCCCCTCGGTTGGATAGTGTTCTTAAAGCTACCAGCATGAGTTTGACCAAACTGCGGGAGGCAGTGGAAGACAGGAGTGCCTGGCGTGCTCTGGTCCATGGGCTCACGAAGAGTCGGACACGACTAAACGACTAAACAACAACAATCTCTGGTGATTTCAAATCATACAAAAGGCTCAGGTAAGAAAATGAGGGAACTAAATGCAGCTCATCCTGAGAATGCCTACTTGACCTGAGATAATTCTGGACTGATCACATTATTCACAAAGTGATTTGATTACGAAAGGCGAGGAGAACAGGAGACCAACAGTTTGCTCCCTCCCTCTGCCTTATTGCTTTTCCATCATGATCTATCGTAGATTTTTGCTGATAATTATGGAAAATGGGGGAGAAACATAATTTCCCCACCAAATTTGTAGTGCACACATGACCTCTGGCAGCATTCCCTTTTAAATATTAGAATAATTAAAGTTGAACACCTTAATTCATAATTGATCTCTCCATCCATCAATTTTGCTTTGTATTCTGTTCACCAAATTTTACCTCTTTGCAAAATTCTAACAATGTATTTGGTATTCAGAGTTTATTGCAATATATTTTACATATATGAATAGATTGTTGTAAATGCTGAAGCACTGACCTTCAACATTTGATCTGTCCTTGCTACTTACATAACTCCTGAGGTATTGTTTCTTCTTATGGATAGAAAGACTTAACAAAGAAATTACCCAGCAGTGCATGAGCTGGATCAATTTCACTCCATCACCCAGTGTAAAATTCCAGGACTACCTGGAACAAAAACCTGATGTTTGTTATACTCTTTAGCTCCACCCTCCAATTTATGCAGAAAATGAAGACGAAAAACCTATGATATGACATGATAAAGCTATGAATTTTCGTGTCCAATTTGATTGATTTGCAGGGTTCTTTTTGTACAAGTTGCTCAATGCTAAATAATAAAACTACCAAGCATGTACATTTTTAATAGCTGGAGGGGGAGCTGGATACTGACATCTCAGAAATAATTAATAACTTGTGTTTTAAAGGGGAGGAAATTCAGTATAAACCAAGGAGATAAATACTAAAGTAAAAATTTCTGAAGAAGCAGGAGGAGGAGGCAAATATTTTATAGACCTGTTAAGAGCCTTTTAACAGCTTTAAAAAATGCCATACATCACACAGCATCTTTTAGCACTAGTATTTCCTTTGTTACTAGAGAGGCAGAGCTGAAAGTTTCTTTGAAACAACAAGCTCCTGACAACAAACCCATTCACCAATTTCTTTCCATTACTGGGTCGTATTATGAGAAGTAGGCCACTTAGAGATAAATCTGACTGGTTGCTGAGCTGGTGAATTTTCTCCAGTCTCTCATCTGGGCTGGGTTTGGTCATAGTGCTAAAACCATGCTTTGGCTAACTTTGACTTGCTGAATGTCCCAACAAACCACAAAGATAAGGTGCAGCCATATTTAGATGATCAAACCCTGACTTACGCATGTGTTCCATCCACTTGCACTGTCCCTTGATCTTGATGAAGGGAACATGCACTAGAACCACTTGAGCAGTGGGTGTTACGCAACACAACAAACTAGGATTAAGCCAAGGCACAGATGTAACAACAAACCATTATTTAGGGAAACCATGATTCACAAGTCACGTTTAAACTTGTTGCCTGGTTTTCACTGGCTTAATAAACTAGAGTATCCACAGGCTTTGTGAACCCGTGCTTCCTGTTTTCCTCCTTTCTAGCAGGTAAACAAACCAGAAAGCTGTCATTAACCATTGTTGAAGGGGGTTATCTGCAACTTCTGTTTACTGGGCTGGCAAGTGAACACAGTGCTGCAAGCATTTCCACACATCCAGCTCCAACTCCTCAGAAAACTGAAGTCTAGAGGTGGAGATATGCTTGGGGTGCTGTGATCACTTGCCAACCTAGCCTACCGATAATTGGAGAGATCACATTAGTGAGGCCAGAGCACCTGAGATAGTAGTCCTGTAAAATCATTGCCAGGTGCAGTTAGCTGTAATTTTTCTGCACAGCCAAATCTGAGAGGCAAATGCCAAGCAAGAACATGGCCCAGCAATTCTCTTGAGCAGGAAGTGCAAAACGGTAACAAGCTCTTTGATGCAGTCAAGTGCCCAGGAGGGACTATGTTTAGGCCAGCTAACTTTTAGCAAATAAATGCTATGTTGTTTTAAAAAAAAAAATCAGTTTTCCAAAAGTGAAAGGTTTGATGTGCAACTATACGTTCTTGAACTACTTTATATAGGTAGGCAATCCATGACCTAGGGCACAGGTGCAGAGCCTTTTGGATTCTGGGGATCAGATATTGTCAAGTGAGTGGAACAACCTACCTGTCAATCACATCAACATGATGTCACATAATTGACAGGAGGGAGATTGTATTACATATCTAGACTTGTGCCCAGTTATTATTGTTAACAGTTTTATTATTTGGGGGGGGTTAATTTTTTAAAAAAATGATTGAAAGGTGGGTTGTCCCCCCTACCTGTCAAAAGCCCTTGAGCTTGGGAGTTACAGCGCAGGGACATCAGCAGCCCTATCCTTGAGCAAGTTATCTGCCTGATTGTTCCTTTGAAGAGATGCATGATATCGGGTGTAGGATGTGTGGATGTGGCTTTCCCCATATGGTGCCTCAAGCACACCTACACCTCAACCAAACACAAACCGCTTATTACAAGCATAATTCAAGCAAGGAGAGAGAACTCTGTTGCAGCCAAGGTGCAACTGGGTGACTTGCAATGGACAGGCAGAAGCCAACTGAACAACTTGCCATAGAGCCAGGGTGGTAGAACCAGACCCAGGACCTTCACAGGCATCTTCCTCTGATCTCAGGAACCCAGTACCTCCTCATCCTCCCACAGTACCTCACCAATTCAACAGCACAGGGAATGTACCAGAATAGTGCTTTGTTTGATAGCAGAAGGAAAAGCTTTCAATCTGCTTTTTGTGGGTACAAAAGAGCACCAGAGAGAGGTGCAGAGAGATTGTAAGCCATAGCCTTGCTGCAGCAAATTCTGGAAACCAAGCTTTTTAAAATAATAATAATACATATTAATTGGCCAGTATCTTTGGTCTCTCTCACACCATCAGTCCCAAGCCCCTTTTAATACATCTTAAGTTCCGTTTAGGGATCTATGTGTTTGCTCCAAACGAGCAGCACTGCTGTACTCTGCTTGTCAGATGAGTTCAGTGTCTTGCATGTGTTTTGTGGCCACAACTAGTTCAGCTACATGGTATCATGTGAAACAAATACCCTTGAGAGTTTGTTCGTTTGTGCTACTTTCTGCTGTCTCATTACATTTTGCTGCTGGTGTCCTCCAATCTCAGGCATGAATGATGTTTCAATGGGGTCCCCTCAGGATCTCCACATGGCAGCATGAAGATTCCTCAGTTCTGATTACAAAAGATGAATATATTTGAGAGGAAAAGAGCACTAGCAGGCACTTTCTGTTCAAGAGCCTTATGAAGAAAATGCTGAGGGGTGAAAATGCAGGAGGAACAAGAAGATACCATCTCTTATCCATGCCGCCGGACACAGAGAGACGTTTCCTAACCCAAGGGGCCTGCAATGGCTGCATTTCTTCAGTGGCCAAGAAAGAATCCACAACTGACATTTAAGGCTGCAACCCTAGCTCATTTACCTGGGAGTATTCCCCACCAAATTCAGCAGGATTTACTTCTGGGTAGCCATGGTTGGGAATAACTGTAAGAAATCAATGCACTGTAGGGATCAACTGTATATATTAATTCATCTGAATGCAGAATTATAATAGTGAAGGGATTATTCAAATAGGGTGTTAATGAAAACAAAGGGGGGCACAGATATAAAGAACGAAGAAAATGGTGGCAGTTCAAAACTCTGAAAGGAAGTTCAAATGCAGGGGTTAACACTGAGTCAAATACTCAAATCCATTTTCAGTCATATGTCTCACTAGAACATGTGAAGCTTTACATAAAGGTGTGCATCTAAGCATGTGTGAAGTTCCTTATCTCATCAACAGGCACAGCCAGCTCCTGCCACCCGGGATTAAAGTGAATGGCTTCCAAATTAGACAATGCAACCTCTAGGCAAACAAGACTCAGCATCTCTCCTTCCACAAATGCCATGGGTGACAAAGATGAAGAGGATGCATCAGATAGAAGCCAGCAATGTGTAAGCAGCTGAGTAAGCAGGGAAGCCAGAGAGGGATGGTTGGAGGAGGAAGAGTACTGAGGAAAGTGGATGGGGGGGGGGAGATACTGGAAAGGTACAGCAAGGAATTCCCTACCACACACACACCTTGGCACATTGTCTGGGCTGCTGCAATGTCACATAACTCTCTGGAAGATGAATGTCCATGGAGCCTAGAGATGGAAAATTCAATGTGGTGTGAAAAGATGCAAGGGATACCATGGGCTGAACTTCACATGTGGCCCCTGACTCTTGAAGACATGCATGTCTCCTGATGGGTAGTATTCAACCAGAGCTATATTTAGAAAAGTGCATGTTGGGGAAATTGTCTGTTGATTGAGTATTCATCCTGATTTGCTTACACAAAGCTTATGCAGAGGTTAGACTATATCTGGTCTTTACTGAGCGTTCCTTCTGGCTTGTTTGTGGGATGGATATGTGACAATGAGCACTCATCATGCTTATTTGCTTGCAGAGTGTTTATAATCCCATGTTTTTCAGTGCCTTTCCCCATCACTTTTGTAACCACAAAAATAGTCTGTTTCTTTGTTGAAGTACATTTGTTGTGCTAGGGCAGCAAAACAATTTAATCCCGCTCACAAAATCCCTCTTACTTTTAAAGTGCAAAAGTAAGTTTGCAGTATGCTTTTGAATCCCTCTCACAAAACAGTGACAGTCTGGCAGCACCTTTAGAATAAATCAGCTAGAATAAATGGTCCTGCAATTTTGTGGACCTCCTTGGTTACAGAAAACTCTTTATTTTTCACAACTTTTTTCTCATCATGGACAAATTCTTACAGGTGCTAACTAAAATTGTCATAACAGAACAGGTCTGCTGAATTCACCACAATTCCACAGTACTTTTTCCTTCAGATTTTAGCCAGCCTCCACTGAACAAAGAGATCACTTTTGATTTAGAGATGTTGAGGGTAGGTAGTCTAAACTGAACATCTGAGAGGCAAGGGAAAGATAATGTTTTATAGAAAGAAATGAATCCAGCCATGGAATGTTAGCTGGTGTGAATTTTGGTTTACTTTTAAGAGCCAGGCAGGACGTATTTTGTAAAGTGCTTTCGCACATAGTTGTATATGAATGAGCTGAGACTATAATAGTAACATTCCTGCTAAGTTGGTGCCATACAAGCATTTTGTCCGTATATGTATTCGCTATAGCAGCAGAAATGCAAAGTAAGGGGCTGCACCCTGTACAGCCAAGTTTTTAATGCACATTATTATTCATTGGGGAACTAATAGAGGAACAGATTGTGCAGTGTAATTATTGAAAGTCACAAAAAGAATGGAATTGTCAGCTCTGAAGCAAACATATTAGTGTGATCTAGGGCAAGTAATTTAAACTCAAGTGTATCTTCTCCCAGTTGGTATGACTTTGGAAATTTGTGAATAGAACCTAGTCTTTTTGAGCAGAATCCCAAAGAGTCCAGTGCTAATCATCTGCCTCTAAGTCCCATTGATTTTATATCCAGTCAAAAACATAATGCTAAGTATGTTTCAAATGTATCCCTTTGACTAACGCTTCCAGAGGTGCTGTTGTGTTATGTCTGTTGCAGCAAGAACAGCTAAAAGTGATCATGGTACAGTAAACCTGTGGGCCATTAAGATGCTCTTAGACTCTTCCTCCTCCTTCGCTGAATCTCTGCTGGAAGAATGCTCCAACACTAAATGCCCAACTTCTAATGGAGGCTAGTTGGGCCTTGGTAACACAGATAACTTCTCTGAGAGGCAGTGGAAGACAGGAGTGCCTGGCGTGCTCTGGTCCATGGGGTCACAAAGAGTCGGACACGACTAAATGACTAAACAACAACACAGATAACACAGTCCTGTGTATTGGGACAATCCTGGGTGCATGGGGCCAGCACCAGCGCTGCATTGACATGGCAGTGTATTATGTTCTCATGCCTTTTCTCTATCTGCTAAGTTGCACATTATATTTGTGCATTCACATGATGTAAAAGCTACTTCTGGAACTATAATGGAATATAGTGCAAATTAAGTGGTCATTTCCATGTTATTTGCTTCCAGGTAAAATGAAAATGAGTGGTAAACTGGCACAATATTCCACTATAGTTCTGGAACTGGCTCTTACGATATCTGGAAGATCAAATAAAATGTGGAAATTAACAGGGAAATGTTGTGAAAATGGAATGAACTGCCATGTGGATGAAGCCTGCGAGTAAACTCTTGAAACTCTTCATTCTTCAAATGACCGGGAAAACTAAGCGAGAGACTTCTTTGCTCATAGCAAAGGGCAATGAAAGATATTAGCTAGTGAATAGAACATGACTTAGATTATGGTTGGCTATGGAGATAATGAACAGCTACTTCTTAGTGTGTCTTAAGGAATGTTGGGTGGGGGGTGGGGGTGAGTGTGGAAACATAGTTAAAACTATATGGAGGATAAATAACAGATGCCAGATGGGAGACTAGAGAAATGCCTGAGGTCAGCTGCTAAGAACATGAGGAAATCTGAAGTCCAATATGTGCAGACATTATGGTAGATGAGGTAAAGGGACATAATCCTCACAATGAGATAATATGGCCTTTCCATATAATTGGAAAAAAAATTATGACAACTTCATTCGAAATATCAAAAAAAAATACAGTCAGCATAAGCTCTAATATTAATAGGGTGAGCAAATATTATTATCCTATTTAATCACAAGTGATTTAATGATCCTTATCTGATTATACAGGCATCCCAAGCAACAGTATTAAAATAAATAAATAGAACATTAAAAAGGGTTTTATCTGGTAAGCTGCTTGAAAATATCCAAATTAAATGGTACCAGGAGCAGGCGGGGGAGAGGAATCCATCAATTTTAATGGTATCTAAATATTTAAAATTACTATGGGTGTGTGCACAACACTGTCCAGTGTTAATAATAAGTAGGTCTCAAGCTGCTTCTATTAATCAAAGGGGATAGTTCCATTGACTTGAATAGGAACAAAATAGCCCTGCTGCATCAGATCAGAGGCCCATCTAGCACAGCATCCTGTTCTCACAGTGGCCAACCAGATGCCAACCTCTGGAAGATGTGCCACAAATGTTCTCCTGTCAGCTTCATCAAAGACAATGAAGCAGATGAGGTGATGGCTTGACTGAAAGGTGTGCAAGCCTCTTATTGACTGTGCCTGAAGACAGGAAAGAGCACATTATCATGCTTACAGTGATGCCACCACAGCATCCTTAACTAGCTGTCCAGCAGAGCTATTCCCTGTGGTGAATGGGTTACTGAATTCTGGTCCAGATAAGGAGGCCTTGGAGACCTGCTGTAACAAACATATGAGGTCCTTAGAAGACCTGCTGCTGTAACAAACATAAGAAGTCCTTAGAAGGCACAGTCCCTTGTATTCATGCTGAACTTGATATTGCCATTGCTACACATACTGTGTGGGTATCTCAAGCACATACAGTGAGACAGGTTAAGTGGGATTAGTTTTGTAGTCTGATATGGGGAACGCCCTTGAAAAGGCACAACCAGTCAAATGTATACTTGATCCTTGTCTTTCATGGCTATTAACACGTATTCCCAGGGCAGGGTTAAGGAACCTCAGGCCTGCTCGGCCCCCGCATTTGGTCCACAAGGACATTTGGTCCACAAGGACATTCTGGCAAAGTCACACCCATCCGCCCTACACCTGATGTCATGTATGGGACAGATAGAGACTTGGGTCTGCCTGATAAGGTTTGCAGACACCACAGTTACCTCTGCAAAACCCAACCATTACTTGATAGTGTGGTTTTCTAGACAGTTTTCATAGGTGTTTCGCAGGCTGTGCACTTGCTTGCACAGTTTGATTTTAAAACATGGGGGCAAAAAAGGGTTTCATTGTGATGACAGCTGACTGACAGGTGGGGCCACCTGCAAAACTTGGCCTGCAGAGGATGAGGAAGATAAAGATCTGGACCACCAGCCAGATCCAGTTCCCCACCCAACAGCAGGGGATTAACTGGGTGGGATCCAGGAGTGATAAATTCCTCTTTGAAGGTGAGATGGTACCCACTGCTTTAAAAGCCCTCTCTGGATCTGTAGGTTTGTGACAAATTCTGCCCACTGCAAATATCTGGTCAGACAGCTCCAAGAGTGCTTGGAAGAGATGTGTTATCCAAATCTTTTTCAATGTATTTCGGTCCAGTTTTGGCACAAAAATGACCTTTTTTGGTTTAATGAATGGCCTCTGCCAAGAAGGGGCAAGGGAGAATGTTGGTCTGTGGGTTATTCTGACTCTCTAAGCAGCTTCTGATACAACTGACCATAGTATTTTGCTGGTTTGGCTCTTTGGGTTGGGAATCAGACGAACAGTAATTCAGACTCCTACTTATAGATCCAGTTACAGAAGACGACAGTGAGGGACTTCTGCCTAGCCCCATGGAAATTAAACTGTGAGGTCCTGCAAGGTTCCATCTTTTCCCTTATGCTTGTGTGTGTGTGTGTGTGTGTGTGTGTGTTAGTTACCACCCAACTGATTGGGTTGCTCCAGTCACTGAGCAGCTTCCAACAAATTATAAAACCACATCAAACATGAAAAACTTCCCTATATTTATAGCTGCTGGGGGGGAGTCATCAGGTGATTTGAAGCATAGTGCCAGCAATATGCTGTTGAAACCCAACTCTGTTTCTCATTGTTATCAGTCAGGTGAAACTGCCCAGACACAGGACTGGAGCTCAGAGGTTGTAAGGGCCAAACAACTGAGTAACTGTACTATAACTGTAGCATGTAGTTGGATAGTAGAGTGAAGATATATTATAGCTAAATATACGTGGTGTTTTATGCAATTTCATTTTCCTCTACAATGTATAGGTGCATATGGAATAGAAGGCACCATGCCAAATCCTGTGTTTTGAGAAAATCTAAAGTTAACAGAGTACAGTTGTTCATTTGTGGGAAGGACTAACGCTATGGCTCAATCTCCTTCCCTTTATTTCCACTGGCTCAGAGCACGAACTGTCTGCAGCAGGCAGTTCCATCAGCCTACAGGAATATAGCTCAAGTCCAATATATGTTTGTAAAATTGACATGTTTATGCTTTAAAGCTATTTTCACTCTTCACAATTGCCCTTTATAGACAATGTAACAACTAAATGCATAGTCTTTTTCAGCTCTAATTTGACCTACCCAATGTTTGTGTGAGTGTGTATGTGTTTAGGAAAAATATAAATGCCAAGTAGACCTTTAGATTAATAGGCACCATATTGGTAATGTACAAATCACTTTTAACAGCCACTATTACTTGGGGTGGGGGAAGGAGCTTGCTAACTGCTCTTTAATTAAGTACACTAAATGACCTTAAGGGGATTAGTAGTCTTGTCTGATAATCAATAAGCATGGCAAGATTGCTGTCCCATAAACTGGGGCTGGAGAACAAAATTAATCTGTGCAGATTAGTTCTCCTAGTCTGCTTTGTTTGCTGAAGACTGGTTCAGAATAGCTGTGGTGGAATTCATTCATCAGAGCTGCAACAAAATCCTTTTGCAAATATGGATTCTCATTTCTCACCTGAGCCTGAGTAAGAACAATGCAGCTCAGGAACAAGGGCGAAAGAGTATCTGTATCAGCAAACCCCCCCCCCAAAAAAAATCAAGCATGAAGCCTCATTAATGAATTGATGGGATGGATGGGCACTAAGCAGGGCAGCCTTGTGCACTCTTTTACAGAAGACAGTCGTCTATGTGAAGGGATGTGGGTGGTGCTGTGGTCTAAACCACTGAGCATCTTGGGCTTGCTGATTGGAAGGTTGGCAGTTCGAATCTGTCTGATGGGGTGAGCTCCTGTTGCTCTGTCCCAGCTTCTGCCAACCTAGCAGTTCAAAAGCACACGAGTGCAAGTAAATAAATAGGTAATGCTCCGGCAGGAAGGTACGTAAACAGTGTTTCCGTGTGCTCTGACACTTGTCACAGTGTCCCATAGTGCCAGGAGCGGTTTAGTCATGACCTGGAAAGTTGTGTGCAGACAAACCCCGGCTCCCTCGGCCTGAAAAGCGACATGAGCGCTGCACCCCATAGTCACCTTTGACTGGACTTAACTGTCCAGGGGTCCTTTACCTTTTACCTTTTAACGCTCTATACGAAGGGCGGTCAGGAAACGCCTCTGTATTTTAAAATGTCTCTTATTGAAGGGCTCCCAGTCTGTTCTGAAGATTAAGTACCATAAGAAGGGGGAGCTAGGCCACAAAACAACAGCTATTGGGCTCCATTTATCCATTTTAAAAATAAGTAACCCTGGCAAGGTATGAATTCAGCAGTCCAGTTAAAATGTTGCAGCTTGACGTGCAAGTAGACGACCCCCCCCCCCCAGCCATTTCCCAAAAAGAATCCCACCTGTGGACTGTATTTTCTCTTCATATCCCAAATATTATCTAAATACTACCGTTTATTAGTTTCTAATATTCACTAGCAGAGTCTGGTATCCCATCTATAACTGTATGTTTGCATTTGGACTTGTGGGACACACTTGGGTTATCAGGCCTCAATCCTGCAATTCCGCAACAATGGCCCTACTTTGCTCTGTGAGCTGTTGGAAGGTGTGCAATGAACCCAACTTTTCTCCTTTTCCATCACCCATCGGTGAGGTGCATGTGTGGAATACAAAAACAAAACAGAAATGGTTTCGTTTTGAAGACAGGATGTCTGTAAAACAGTGTTTATTACCTGGAAAGCCGTAACAGGGTTCATGCAAACTTAGGCAGTATTGGGCTCTCACTCCCCAAGAGATCAGTCATATCATGTGCCTTCAGCCTCTTTATGTCAAAGGACTTCTGGGAGCTGATTTTACAGCAATGGCATGATATAATAGAGAGTAATTAATGCTGTATCGAACATGTCATTTTTACCCAGTTTTATTCAATTTAATTAATTTGCTCAAATTAAACAACTCTGGTAGAGAAGAAAGAAAGAAAAAGAATGTAGATCTGCTGATTTTTCCTGACTCTATAAAGATGTATGAAAAGTTGGATATAAAGTGTAAAGAATGTGCACGAGAGATAGAGAGAAAGTCAACAGAGAATCTTAATTCAATTTGCTGAATTATTTTAAGGCATATTGCTGGTTTATTATTCAAGTGTATCGTGTTCAAATAGACATACATATTTCCAGACCCACTTTAAATGCTGCTTTTAATGGTTTAGAACCAGGTTACCTCCTCCCACATATGCCTATCTGAACCCTAAGATCTTCTTTTGAGGTCTTGCTCTAGATGTCCAGGCCAAGTGAAGTGAAGCAAGTGCTTACTAAGAGGGCCTTTTTGGTAGTGGCACCATGGCTATAGAATAGGCTCCCCAGAGAGGCTCGCCTGGCACCTTCTCTATGCTCTTTTGGGTGCAGGTAATTCAAACATAATTTAAATTATGTTTTAAAATCTAGGCTTTAAACTTCTTATACCATTTGTGTTTCAGGTGAAACTTTTTTGCCTGTCCTGTAATGCTTCCTGTTAATTTTAATTATATATTTTCTAATATAGTTCTGTTTGTAAGCCACCCAAGTCATATTTATTGTTGGGCAGCTATATTAGCTTATTAACAATTATCAACATTGATTCTAAACATTTTTATGATTATATTAGTATTCTTCGAATCAATATATGTCGTATATAAAGATTTTCAACAATTCTTTAACTTTTTATACTTACATGTAAATTTCCCTTCACTAGCAATCCACAAACATGCTACTATTGATTGCTGCTTAAGGGAAAAATCTTCTTTTTTGCTTGTGTTATAAAAACATATTACAGCTGGGTTTTTTAGGTTCCTTCTTTTGTTCTTGTGGAAAGGTTTTGTGGCGTGAAGTACAGGAGATTTACCTTAATCTTTTCACACTGGGAGTTTGGAGTTTCTTCCCCTAAATCTCCTGGTTATAAGAGATAACTCATTTGTATTTAAGATACAATAAGAGCCTCACAGAAATTCATTTAGTGGTGCATTTAGTAAAGGAGCATCTATTCATTTTGGTCCTGGTCAGCCTTGTGTGGGATAGGAGACTATTTTTTTGTTGAAAAAAAATTATAGTGATGTAAATCACTGTGATAGCTATGTGAATTGCCAGTATAAGCACACTTTCCTTTTTAATCTATTATTGAAACCTAACTTCTACAATTCTATGATTCCATGCTTCTAGGGTTGTTGCCTTTTAGAAGTAACAGGGTTCCAAACGGTAGAAAAATACAAGTCTCGAAACTCTACCCAAAAATCCAAAAATGGAATGAAAATGTATGCAAAATATTAAGTATGGATAAAATCTTGCATCAGTTGCACTTTCACATCAGCTAATCCTGAATTTAATGATGATTTTAGAGGGAAATGGCACCCAGTTCTAAACATGATCAACTCTGTTTCCTGGAAATACAAAAGGTTGCTTAGGTTCTCTTCTTTCGCTATTTAAAGAAGGCAACAATAGATCACATTTAGCACTGTCTACTTCCCTTTATACATTACATAATTACTACTGTTGTTAAAGTTATATAAAACTTGGAATAATCAGTTTTGTAAATCTGTAGAAGGCTTATAGCTTATAGGTTGCTTCTCCTCCCCATTGACTTCCTTTTGCCAACAGTCCCTCACATTGAAGACAGTCCTAGTGAAGCTGTGAAAAGATTAGACAGAGCACATGGTACAGTGAACTGGAGAGAGTGTTAGGAGTGTGAGTTTAATGCTGTTACTGTTAAAATAGTTCCCTATTAACTCCTTTCATTTCCACCATTAGCACAATTGGGAAAACCAATAGATTATTCCCAAAGGGTGCTAAAAACAAAACAAAACTGCAGAGTGACTTCACTGCTTTTATACAAAGTATATATATGACTAGTGGCTCTTCCAGTAGGCAAGCTTAGGTTGCTTGTATGTGTTCATTTACAGCAAGTCACAGCTGACAGTTTCCCTCCCTTTCAACGCTGCCTCCTTGATTCTGAGTGTCCATGCTTCTAGGTTTGTGGGAGAGGAATGAGGGAAGATTCACCTAATACAGTGATACCTCTGGTTATGAACTTAATTCATTCTGCAGGGCTGTTCTTAACCTGAAGCCATTCTTAACTTGAGGTGCCACTTTAGCTTAAAGGGCCTCCGTGCTGCCGGCGTGCAATTTCTGTTCTCATCCTGAGGTAAAATTCTTAACCCGAGGTACTACTTCCAGGTTAGCGGAGTCTGCAACCTGCAGTGTTTGTAACCCGAGATACCACTTTACTACACAGTAAGACAATGGACGCGGGTGGCGCTGTGGGTAAAACCTCAGTGCCTAGGACTTGCCGATCGTATGGTCGGCGGTTCAAATCCCCACGGTGGGGTGAGCTCCTGTCATTCGGTCCCAGCTCCTGCCCACCTAGCAGTTCGAAAGCACCCCTAAGTGCAAGTAGATTAATAGGTACCGCTTTATAACGGGAAGGTAAACGGCGTTTCCGTGCGCTGGTGCTGGCTCGCCAGAGCAGCTTCGTCACGCTGGCCACGTGACCCGGAAGTGTCTTCGGACAGTGCTGGCTCCCGGCCTCTTAAGCGAGATGAGCACGCAACCCCAGAGTCGGTCACGACTGGCCCGTATGGGCAGGGGTACCTTTACCTTTACCTTTTTAAGACAATGGTATGAGATCCCACAGGGCATGGAATCAAGTAGGAACAGAAGGAGCTGGCCTGTGGTGGGAGGGTCCCAAAGGACATGACATACTTGTGAGATCTGGTGAATGATGGAGGCCCAGTAAGGAGCTAAAGCCGTCAGGCCCGATGCAATGGGGAAAGAGAATCTGCCAAACCAAAAGGATCCATGATTCAACTTCAGAATCCATGTTTTGTCCAAGAAGGGCTCAGCAGAAGTTACCAAGCGTGTACAATATGTTCTTAAGTGCTGTCAATATTTTTGGTGACTGAAGGGCAAGGATACGCCATACTGTTTCTTGTAGGTGCCACACAGTGGCTTTGGAGATAAGTACATAGTGCATGGGAGGAGTGCTGATTGGACAGCAGCATCCCTTTGCATGAGGACCGAGGCTCTGGTGAAAGAGAAGGCATTGACCCCACCCTCATGGACCTCTCCAGTACTTGTTTTTTATTGTATCTGATGAAGCACACTTATAGCATAATATTTAGTAGTAGTCCAGTTGTACCTTGGATCCCGAACGCCTTGCAAGTCAAACGTTTTGGCTCCTGAACACCGCAAACCTGGAAGTGAGTGTTCTGGCTTGCGAATGTTCTTTGGAACCCAAATGTCTGATGGGGCTTTCGCAGTTTCCGATTGGCTGCAGAAGCTTCCTGCAGCCAATCAGAAACTGCACTTTGGTTTCTGAACGTTTTGGAAGTCGAACGGACTTCTGGAACAGATTCCGCTCGACTTCCAAGGCACAACTGCATTTATTACATTTGTTATTCACTGCATACAAAAGAAAAAGAATCAAAGCAACTTAGCCAGATAAGATAAATAAGGACTTGTCTTAACCACTCCACTAAAAGATTATTTATTTATTTATTTAATTTGTATGCCACCTTTCATATGTAGATCTCAGGGCAATTCAGAACATAAAATTACAATATAAAAAGCACAAGATACATAATAAAAATAAGAACAAAAACAAACCAATAATCCTCCCTCCCACAACACATTTGAAAGGCCATTGGATGTCAATCAGCCCAAGGCCTAGTTGAAGAGGAACGTTTTTACCTGGTGCTTGAATGTGTATAATGAAGTTACCAAAGGTCTGAGTGAATAAAAGGGTCCTAGTGTGGTGCCTAAAAACCAATGATGAAAGTGCCAGGCATGTTTCTCCCGGGACAACAATCCACTGGTGGGATGGGCTGGCTTGAAAAAGCCCATTCTTGTGTGGCTACCCTCCAGAACTCCCTCTGTTTGGCACATGGTGAGAATACTCATGTTGGTCTTTAAGGCACCATAATGCTCTCTTGTTTTCAGTTGGTCTTTAGCGAGTGCAGGGAATGCATTGCAGTCCCCATTTCTCCCTTCCAACTAGCTGGGTTTCCAGCTGATTTTCAAAGAGAGGTCCTTGTGCACTTACCCATTAGCTGAGGAACTGAGTGTAGAGCAGGTACTTGCTTCCCATGTTCATTTTGCATGTTTAAGTTTATTGCTTTTGTATTTGTATGAACCCAGTGGTAGAGTCAAAATAGAACAACAGGATATTAATATCATTATACAATATTGAGAGACAACATGGATCTTTTAGACCTGAGATGATTGTTGATGAATTGGTCTGGTTTCCAAGCATAGTTTGAAGTGTCAGCTTTGACCTATAAAGCCCTGTACATCATGGGACCTCAGTATCTGAAAGATGTCCTCTTCCCATATGCATGTAGGCCCTTCTCTGAGTGCCTCAACAATAAATTGTATCTATGAAGGTGAGGGTCTTTTCAGTGGTGGACCCTTTGTTGTGAAACACTTAACCCATAAGGCTCACCTAGCTCCTGTTTTAATGTATTTTCAGCCACAGGTAAATGTTGAATGGTCACTGTAAAATGTGAAGGTTCATTATTGTTTCACAAGTTGTGTATGTCTTTAAGGGCCAGGGCAAATAACAAGACCCAGTCTTGCAGCTGTGAAACATAGCAGGTGCTGCTAGGTTGTGCTAATTAAGCTGCGTCAGCATTTGGTCATAGTATATAAGGAGCAGCACCTAGCTCTCTTTATCCTGGGGGGGGGGGGGGTTGGTGGTTGGGTCATGTTTGTTGTTGTTATCTTTAGTGTAAAAGGAGTTTTTGTTTTGTTATTAAAACCTTGTTAAAGTTATTTTTGAGTTCCTTGTTATGCATGGTCTCCCCAGCAAGCTCTCTGCACCTCAAATAGCCAACAGTAAATACTTAAAAAAAAATAAAAGTCTAAGCCTTTTAACATTTTAAATCATGTATCTAAATACTGTGATCTCCATTGGTGGCTTAGAATGTTGTTCCACCTCTATGAGGGTGTTTTTGTAGCTATTATGAGGGTGTGTTTGTGGCTGCTTTGCATGTCATGCTTTATAAGAGTTTTGCACTGTTCTTAGCGCTTTGCAGGCTGCTCTCAGTGTTGCGTTGTGACTGCTGTTTTACTGGATTTCTTTTGCATTCTTTTTAATGGTTCGTTAGTCAAAGAACTCTAGTTACGCTACAACTTAATAAATACGTACAAATTCAGCACAACAAATAAATAAATTTATATCCTGCTTTTTTTGTAACGGTGCCTACTCAAAAGCGGCGATGTTGTTTTATGACCTAATTTCCTCTGAAAGCCACAGCGAAGTGCTGTCCTTTCTGTGCATCTCGAAGGCCTCCCATTTTTATGGCCCAATTAATTATTAATTTGACTCTCATCTGCAAAATCAGAGGGAGTCCGTGTCCTTCCAGGCAGCGCTCGCATTCGCGCGGTGCCATCGCATTCCTGCAGCTCTGCTTTCGCCTACTGTAATTTCTCTGCTAATAAAGAATATTTAAAAACTGGCCAGGAATCCTAAATTTGAAAAACTCGCTGTTTATTTCAGTGATGCTCCAGAGAAATGATAATGCAGTCCTTTTCCAGATTTAATTTAAACAGGAACAGGCAAAACAAATCTCTGTGGAGGGCATTTGACAATAATAAAATATTTCTCCCAGCGGGTGAGCTGGTAGCAATTGTATTGTTGCCATCAAAGCTCACGTTGCAGCAGGTCATTACCATCATAACAAGCCCTTGGACCAACTGGCATGGGCATGCAACATTGAGCTCCTGATGGGCACATTATTTCAGACCTTTAACTTCACAGAGAACAAGACAAATGCTCCTGGGAAAGGAGGATTATATTTTAAAATTCCTTTCTCTCTCCTCCCCCCTCCCACCCTCCAGCCTCGCTTAATAATAAGATGCCACACGTAATCAATTGGACGCTTCTTGCTTTCTGTATATTAACTGATTTTAAGAAAACTGAAGGATGGGTATTTGAGTCTTGTGGAAGAACGGCTGTAAAGCCTAATAAAAGGATAAACACTGCTCATGTCTAAGACGTCTCAGTTCACAGCGCACATGAAAGCAAAGCAAAATAAAATAAAGGGGGAAAGGGGGCAAATAGCAACAGGATTCCTATTTTTGGCATTCAGGTGAAATTTACAGAGTACGGTATGCTGTAGGACAGGAATAGAGAGGCTGCGCCTGTATACAATTGTTGGGCTGCAACTCCCAACAGTCCTACCCAGCGCGACCAACGATCAAGGCGGATGGGAGCTGTAGTCCAGCAATATCTGGAAGGGCAAAAGATTTTCCAACTTTGATATCAGCACGATTTGTTCTCTTCAACATTTTTGCAATTTAGATATTACTATGTAAGTCTTTCTCGACTGCTGGCATCAGCAGCTCAAGCTGCCATGGTCCTTCCCAGGTCACCAAGCTCATCTTCCACATTTTGGTAACCACATCCTTGGCCCTTGATAAAGGGCTTCTTCACAGATCGGTACCTACTTATAACTGAGCTGACATTTCCCAGGAGGAACTTCTAGTTCAAACTGGGGGTGTGGGGGCGAGACTAAAGGAGCACAGCATATATCTCTCTCTTTTTTAATTTACTGCCACCAGTTTCAGTTCTCCCAAGACTGCCATTTCCCTCCTCGAAAGCTGCTATCATAATGATGCTACATGATGACTGCGTGTCACCCTGGACCATTTGGGTATAAAAATGGCAAGCACTAATCATCGGGCACTTGGAGAAATACCAATAACAACACTGGTAAGACCTTATTCCATTCTTCTTTGCTGAGGTGCCCCCTATTTTACCACCTGCAAATGGGGTGTGGCAATATGTGGTGTGTGTGTATTTGTCTCTGTTTTAATTTAATATGCATTTTACATTTTGATTTTACTTTACAATGTTTTAAGTTATTGCAAGCCATTTTGTGGGTCCTTATGGTTCAGAAAGCAGAATATAAATCAAATGAATGAATCAATCTTTGTTCTCAGCATGTTGCCAGCCACTTTAGCCATGTATGTTCAGTAGGGAGGCTTGGCACTAGGTGCAGGGAAGGTCAGTGACAGATGAAAATCAGTAGCATCTTGCTGAAATGAACATTTCTCTTGCAATATGCCTTCTGCAAGGGGTATTTTTGTTGTAGGGACATATCAAGTGATCTCTACAAAGTGGACTTGAGCGGGAATGATTATGAATTCAGTGGTCGATCTTGAAATCAGACGGAGTCACAGAATGCCAGTAGATTTCAGGATCTTAAATTTCTGCACAAAACCACTTGTAACTGTGGTGCCTTTGCTTCGTATTTGAAATGGAGTCCTCTGTTTACCAGTGCCAGGGGCTACTGGGCACTGGGTACAGTATTACTTAACTGCCTCTCTTGGATTTTTGCAATGCTGTTAGGTTTCATGGGGGAATGTGTGGTTTCCTTTTCCAAATCTTGGAAAGCCCTTGTTACTTTTCAGCAAAATATTTTGCTCCTCTCTGGGAAAATGGTGTTTGAGCAAGCAGATGCTCACTGGATCCATTCAGACACTCATAACAGATATCAGTTACCCAGAGGATTTTGTAAATTGACAGCTGTGTATGACACACAGTGTTTACCCTGCTAGTCCTGGTTCCTATATTTGGACTAGCCAAATACTATATGAGAGTTTGCCACAGTCCCAATACAGTTTTTATGTGTCAGGACTGCTGAATCAGTGCACCCAAGACCCAAGAAAAGCCACCTGCTGGAAACAGCTGTCACTGCATGGCCGGGGCTATGATATATAGGGTTTCTCAGATTCAAGCCACAGCAAGGAAAAGTCTTGCTTCATGCAACCATTTTGTCAGCATGCATTTAAAGATGATCAATGCAGCCTAATCCCATGGCTAAGCCTGGAACCTCAGTGAAATGGCTTTTGGGATTTGGGGAATCAGCCTAGAGAGTCTACACCTAGGAAACAGTGAAAAGAACATGCATGTAAATATGATAAAATGCATGAGGCAGATGATCAGCTCTTTTTTTAGAGGGCAACTAGCAATCAGGTGCCAAAAATCTGGGTTAATTTTTATAATAGAGAAACAGAGCATGGAATAAAATGGCAGTAGTATAGTAATAGCCCAATTTTATACAAGTTCACTCAGAAGTAAATCCATTTGGTGTCTCAACCAACAAAGCACATGTGCAACAGCTGTGCTGGAACTTGATAGCTGGAAATTGTCTTGCGTGAGTGGAGGTCAATTTGCGTGTATTTGGGTACACGCTTACTAATTGGATGGGGAAGAAACCACTCCTTCCCCCTTCAGTCTCTCCCCCCACCCGGAAGATATGGTTAATTGTTACATCTGAATGAATAATTGGAAGCAAGCCATGACACGGGACTAATTTGAAGTGAGTTTGCATTATACTGAAAATATCAAATGGGCCTGCACTAAGCAAGTCATGGCTAAAGAGAGAAAAAGTTGCACAGCAAGTTAAACCATGGTTTCAGCAATAAATAATAATGATCACAAACCATTGTTAAGTCTTACATCTGGGCTGGGCATGGGTGAACAAAAAGCCACAGTCAATAATAGTCCTAATAGTGTCATGAATTCTTCACAACAAAAGAAAATATTTTAGGAAATTTCTTTCTAGTAACTCCTCCAAAAATCAGGTGCTACAGATAGTCTTTTTTTTTGTCATAATTTGGAATCTCCGTGAAGACATGTTTTACGAACGCAATATACCAATACCAAAAGGGAACCTGGTGATTTATCTTAATAGTGGAAGGAGGTGGTGGAAAAACAGGGGCAGGGGCTGAATACTCCGTTGTCTTTAGAAACCTTTGTGTCATACGACCTCTCTAGGGACTGCCTAGCACTGAAGGTGAGAAACATGTTGAGCAAACAAATGACAAAATACTATCACGACAGGCTAAAAAGCAAAATTAGTAGTTGTATGTTGATTCTATAAAAAGTCTTCTAGAAGCAAAAGTTGACCCTGTGGCAAGAAGGTACCACCTTTCTGACTCAAGCCAGAGATGCTGTTTCCTGATACATTTAAATCAAGGCTCAGCTATGGTCCTGGAGAATTACTAATGATCATCATTAACACCTATCTACATTATCACTCTACTAGCATTTTGGCTTGCAATTCATAAATGCTGTTGCAAATAAGAACTTACTTTACTTTATTTTTTAAAAAAGATTATCCAATTTGTAAAATAAATGAATAAATCACATTTTAGGAGTGGAATGATGACTATAGCTGTTGATGAAGAAAACAAATAGCCCATTGTAGACAGTAGTAATATGATCTCAAAATTGCAGGGAACTTTTCTTTTATGACACTGACTGAGAGGTAATGATTTTCAGTAACGTGGCTTGATGTGGAGATGTTTTAAGATTAAATAAGTGCTTGTCAGAATGAATTATAATGTGTTAAGGGACAGTCTGCATATTCAGGTGTATGCAAAATGACTATACCACCCTGAAATTCATTTTGACAAGTCTTTATATAGCATGTAGCCATGTGGCTACATTAGCTGGAGGGCGTAGATCCTTAGAGCTCTACTAAAGGTAGGGCTTATTGATTTGATTCCTTGATGTGGGGGCGGGGGAAGCAAAACAAAAGCCACAACGCACAAATAAATTAAAAGCAATTAAAAGTGGAAGCTTGTTTAATATTGCTCTACCATCATCCTGAAAGGCATAATAATTTGAGTTACACATCTGAACTGATTGGAGTTACAGAACCATATCTCCTTTTTGCATTTAACAATATATACAATATAAAATAAATACATTTACACAAATGGACATTGGTTGGAGCACACAGTATGATACACATCACAAAAATATACAGTTGATTGCTTTACAGATGTGAAGCCCATCTACAGCTATAGACATGATTTTTTTTTCATTTGTGTTTTTTACTAGTGGTTATTATGCAACTCCTGGATTATAATAAGCAGCTTAATTCAGTTTCCCCCCCTCTTTTGTGATCTTTGCACAATAAGACTGCCATAAAGTGTTTTCCTAGGCAGGTAAACAGAGACGCTTAAATAATTAAAATACAATTACCAACACCCATTTTCTCTTCCATAAGAAAAATAGCAGTTTTAATTTTTTATATCTTTTTATGTTAGCATTTAAATGCAAAATAGTGGAATAAATACAACAATCTGATTTGATTGAAACAAATGCGTAACTTCCAGGAGTCACACAATCATATTGCTTTAAATAAGGAGAAAGAAATAGCAGTAAGAGGAAAGAAAATAGCCTATTAGAAATTTCTTCTGCACATTGAACTGAATGGGGGAGCCAAACAAGACCATAGAGCTCTTACACAATACCCTTTCATTTCAATGGCTTGTGCAGGAGAAATTCCATCTGGATCAATTCCCCTAAATGAAATTTGTTATGCTAAAACACCTTTTGAAATCTTCCCCAATACTTCACAATAAATAAGTTAAAATTTCGTTCAGCAAGGTTTAAGATGAATGTTATTCTAATGCCTGTGCAGTGTATCTGTGTTTCAGTTAACAATTGTACAGCCACGAGATATTTGTTCATTGCAGCTCTAAAAATTACTGAAAACCAATAGTAAAAAAAAATTGCACTGTGTTCCTTTAACACATTCCAGCTTTCTTAAGTCTTTGTATGCTTTTCTTTTCTGAGTGTGTTGATTGGCTATTGACCCTGAAAACCCAAGTTCTTCAATGCGATACAGCAAAAACAATATTTATATTAGATATTTATATATACATATATAGTGTAGTTGAACAGTAGCAACTTAAACCCTGCACAAATTTTCTGGAAAATAATTATTCTGCACTCTTACATATATAAATAATTTTATAGAATCAGCACCATTTCCCTCCCCCGCCCCCAGGAGTTGTGAGGTTTTGCCATTTTTCAAAAGGGACGTGCCAATTTCCAAACTCCTATCACGCTATTAATTTCAAGTTATTGGCCAACTGAATGAATTGCTAATGATGATTTATCTAGGACCACACGACAGTCACTTCTCTACTGAGAAAAACACAATCTACAAGAGAATCCCATATAGCTAATGAGAGATATACAGTATTTCTAGCACAAGGTTGATGTATCATCAGCCTGTTGTATTTTGTTTAAAGCACACAAGTAGCAATAATTTTGGAAACGTGTCTGCATTTAAAAAAAAAGGTTTTGCAACAACACAGAGCAAGTTAATAACAACATCTGAGAGATGATTGGATGAAAGCTATATTTACAGCGTTTAAAAATTAGACTTATCTATAATCTTGAAATATTCAAAGTTTTATTTCTAAGCTATACATAGGTATTCTATAATAAACTGTTACAGAAATTATCCCTTGTTTTGAAAATATTATGATTTCAATGTGTATTTGTCCATAATGAGTACTTGGTTGGATTTTTTTTTCCAATTTCTTAATTATTACTAGGAAGAACCTTATTATCAGAAGGAATAGAATATACTACTGAAGTCTCCTGAGGAATTTTACATCCAATATTGTCTCTAATTCTACCCTGTGTCTATAAGCACACGCCACAAGAATCCAAACACCACAAGAACAAGACAACAGTCTTTGAATGCAACAGAAAAAATTCCAAAAAGCACAGCAAACATGAAACATTGAAAAGCTGAACTACATTTCCTTTGTTTGTTAGGATTACAATTTTAATTACATTTGTGTACATAGAGTAAGGTTGTTCACATAGTACAGGGAGCAGCTACTAACACTGGTACATTGGTATAGCATTTGATGGAGGTTATTGTTTATTGGTTATTTAGCGACTGTAGTTTTCTGGGGGCATCTAATTAGTTTATACATTAGATTACACCTCTTAACAGTCTTGAAATCGACCAACTTTTATGCTGTGACAACACTGGTTGAAAAAGCAGGTATACTGGTTAGGCTGTTTGTTTAAAAATGGCAATCTACCCAAAATAATATTTTTTACAAATTAATAAATAATGGGTACAAGTGCTAGGTTCTTGAATTTGGTCAGAGGCTGACTATTCTGATATCTGATTCTGCCTTATTGCTAGTTGCAGTGGGTTGAACTTTGGAATAAAGTCTGCAATTTTGTAAAGACAAGCCATATTATTAATTAACACACAATATCATGTAGCAATTGTACCTTGGCCGTACAGAAGCACTTACTAACTTTTTTTTTTTAATTCCTATTTGACATGGCATCTTAACATGTTAGACTACTCTGATATACTGTAGGTGTAATCTAATCCTTTGTTTCAGTGAACACTTAAGATATAAATCGGAGCTCATGCGAAGAAACGGGATGTCTTAGACCAGACTGGCACACAACATAAATTGCATCCGTGATAATATGCACCTTCCCTTCAACTATTGCTTGAGTAAGATAAATTCCCACGTTAACAAATGGCTGAAAAGTGGTAAAGCTGGTAGAAAAAAATCTTCTGTTAGTAAGAAGAACCAAAACATTTGTTTTTTTAAAAAAATCTTCCTTCAGGATTCATTTGTCCTTCATTAAATGTTTGTCATTGTTCAAGCCAGCACAAAAAAATGCAGTATTTATTTATTTATCTTTCCTCTTTAGTATTGCATGAATGAATAAAGCTCAAACTATTCCCTGAAAAAGTTACATCGTAGCTAACCTAAGAAATATCTGGAAGACTTGAAAAAACAATTAAGGAATCAAATGGCTGTAACTGATCTAGATGGAAATGCAATGATAAGAAGCAGCCAATGCGTCGTCATCGAAGTCGTCTAATTAGAGGCTGCTCTTGTGAAACCTAATACTGCATTCAGTCAGTTCATCGTGTTGTACTGTACTGCTATTTACGATGGTTCTCTTTTGATTCCTTTGTCATTGGGGTATTGTGGTTCGTAATAAGTTCACTGGCATCCATATTATGGATTTCAATCCTTTGGCAGGCCTGGCTTCCATCTCTCTTCTATTAGAGACCTCTTTTTAAAAGATTCAGCAGCATAGGGTGCGGGGGAGAGAAAAAGAAAAAGAAAAACCAGAACGGTAAAAAGAAGAGAGAAATCAAGAAAGGGAAACTGTGTCGGAGAAGACACGGAATAGAAAGAGCTGCTGCTTCTCAGTCTTGCTGCGACGTATCACTGCAGTCATTTTAGTTTCCTTAATTTAGATGCTAAAGTTTCTTTGTCGTGGTTTTCCTGTTTATGGTTTTCCCTTTCATTAAAATTCCAGCGTGCGTGACTGGAAGGCCCAGGATGCTTTAGTCAGACCTTGGCCTCCAGCATTTCCAAAAAAAGTTTGTGCATGGGGACTTTGCCTTCCAGTTTGATGTTGTAGAAGTGCTGCACAGCCTTGGTGGAGGTTTGCCTCAGCAGCGGCAGAGTCATCAGCATCTTGCCAGCCCGGCGTGGGTCTTCCATATGCTGCCCGGCCTCATAATCCTGCAGTGCCTCATGTAAGACATCTTGAAGTTTCTGAACGGCTTCAACATCTTCTATGTGCATTGAGTCTGCAAAACAAAAGAGCAAAACAGCAGTTTTCAGTTTCCGTGCCAGAAAGCAAGATTACGATGCCAATGCTCTAGACTGTAACTTGCACCGTAATAAGGAGCAGCACAATAATTGTTTATGGATTTGCATGGATTTACCCAGCATTTTCTGGGCTCTCTTATGAGTAAGTTAGATAATTACTCTCATATTACCATATTGACCTTCTGGAAAATGTTTGAGTCTCTGGTGTAATTACAAACATGTAATTGCTTCCTGCGCTTGGTTTATATAGATTAAGAGAAACTAGCATTGAAATTTGCATTGAAATTTGTATGAATATTTTCTTTTTCTTGACTTTTAAAAGCATCTTTTCATTAAGTTTTCTTCGTCCAGTTTACAGACCTGGACTGTGGGTTTTCAAAATGTATTTCCTAGATAATACAGAAAGCCCCAAACCCTTGAAAGTGCACCAACTATGTTTTCTAAAACTCTATGTGTATTTAGAATTTTTGGAAATTTACAGCACGTAGTGAGATTTGCTTAGATAAATCCAGGTACTTCTAATTTTATTTTGAGCAACAGGTGCTCCATAGTCCAGATATGTGGGTTCAGGATTTCTAATTTAAAACTACTTAAGTATCAGGCAAATACATCTGTTTAGAGACCTGGAGCCAGCCAGTCATGGTCTGATTTACTATAACTACTGAATTTGCCTGCTACTGAGGCTGGCATAGGCTGTGGAGTCCTCAAGGTTGATTGGTTTTTCTGTGGTGAGTATGGACAGTGTTTCAGAAAAAAGAGTACCTGTTATTCCCTGGCATCATTCCCTTGTTATGTCCTATAGCCAGTGCCAGATTTCCGTGTAAGCTAAACAAGCTATAGCTTAGGGCCCCACTCTCTTGGGCCCCCCCAAAAAATGTAAAGGAAAAAAAACCTGGATGTACATTTCCAAAATATTAGATAAAAAACAAATAAAATAAAACTTTTGTTATTGCCAATGTGTTTGCATTATTAAGTTTGTTATGAATAAAAAAATCATTTTAAGTTAGAGCTTAATAATTATTTCACTATTAATATACTTCTTCTTAATTGTATTTCAGTTCAACAATTACTTCAATAAAATACATATTTTGTTATGGGCAAATGGCTTTAGATACCTATTAGGTCCATAAATTACCATATACAGTAGCATATATTCAACACAAAAAACAGTCACAATTTGTTGTTGACGAAGGACAGCTGGACATATAAAGGGCCCCATTACCTTCAGTAGCTTACGGCCTCATCACACCTAAATCCGGCCCTGCCTATAGCACTCAATCAGGAACATGAAACAGCAGCCCAGTCGCACCCTCACTAACCTTGGGTTGCATTCAGTTCACTGTGCAAGCAGAATCACTTCTGGGGGTGCAATGGGACTTCCCCGCCATCTCCTTCCCCTGTGTGTCCCTCCCTCCCTAATCTTTAAGAATCAACTTGGGGGCACAATTTATTTAAATAAATATATATTTAAGGAGAGCCTCCTGAAAGAAATCCTTGCATCAAAAAGGTTGATGAGGAACTGAGTCCATTATTTACAAAAATAAATGTGCAGTGTGGCAAAGAAAGAAAATGTTTCAGCTCTGAAAAATGTAGTTAATTATGTGCAAGTTTGGGTCATTTAGCACATTTTATTGATTCTGATGGCAGTTTATCAGTTATTACACATAATGGAGTCCTATGGGGATTCTACCTGTTTAAAGATTTCAGAGTTACAGCGACACAGGTCCTAAGAAGCATGCAGTTACAATATTATGCATATTCTATAACAACTTCATTTAAAAACTGGTCTGCTTCTATACAGCGAAGTAAAGTAAAATACCAAAATAAGAATGGGTCTTATGGTTGACCAGGAAGCAGAGGGCTGAAGTAAATTTTATCTGTAGATGAACTAGAGTTTGGAATGAGCAGTGAAGGAGCAAAGTTTGTCAATGACACCAAAGTAGGGATGGGTGTTACTTCTTTTCCCATTGGACTGAACTAATCCAATGCTCCAGAACTAGGTTTGTGGATGAGAACACAACTTTTGGTGCACCCACACTTTGCGATGCCATTACAATGCACAAAATATTCATTTTACATAAAAATGTGTACAAAATGTGTGATGAATGTACTGTGATGTACATACTTAACTTTAAAAGTGTGTGCTTTATGTAAAATGCATATTTCTATGTTTAAAAAGGTGCACAAGATTCATACAATTTAACTGCAAACTTCCCATGAATGCCCATGAGGCAGAACTGGGATGAAATTAGTCTGCTTTAGTCCATCCCTACACCAAATCAAAGGTGCTTGAAACCCAAGGAGACTATGAGAACTCCAGAAGGATTTCTCTAAACTTAGTAAATGGGCAACAAGATAGTAGAAGTGGCTCAATGATGTACTGTTAGCCATTGTGGGAAACAGGGGACTAACTGGAACCATTGAACTAACCAGGCAAGGCTGTTCAGATCAGGAGCCAGGGGATGGTCTTTGCCAATGTTTCAAAGTTAGTACAGTGTTTCTAATCATCAGATGTCATTAGTTAATTTACATACAGCTTGATTCTATGTAAACCTCTTAAATTCTCAGTAAAAACAGGTATTCAAAAACATTCAAAATATTATAAAAAGAGCTAAGACACACACTTCTACATGTCTGGATAGGCTTACCTAAACAAAAATGTTTTAATCATGCACTTAGACCTATAATAATAATTTTAAAATCCTGCCCACCTTGCTGGGTTTCCCTATCCACTCAGGGCGGCTCACAACATATATAAAAACACAACAAAGCATCAAACATTAAAAAACAAAATATCCTATATGAACAACCAACCAACCAACCAATCAATAGAAACCACCAACAACAACAATAACCAGTTTACAGCTATATCCAAATTAAAATAACAGCAAACCCCAACTAAACATTTAACCAACATCATCCCGATCAAAACAAAACAGAGGAACCAAAATTAGAGACGTTCAAAACATTTTAAACAGTTGCCCCAACCCAGGAGTTGCTCCAGCAATGTCCTTCCAGCCTCCCAGGAGCCTCTTTGGAAGGACAAAAGTGGCTTCAAATCAGTGTTAAGGTAAGTACAAATATGCATCCACGAATACAAGGGAATAATACAAAAATGAAATTAAAACAGCAACAATGTAAAAAAAAAAAATCTACTGTGTATTTTGGGTCTATGGACCACAATAAAGTTTTGTGTGTGTGTAAATAAAAAAATAATACAGTACCATGCATTCCAAATTCTAGCATAATAGGATGATTTTTACTGTGGCCCTTATTGCTACCGTAAAAAATAAGTGAATGCCAAGTCAAAACAAATTTATTTGATTTTTTTTTTAATACCATGAGGAAATATCATTTTGAGTCACTATTTCCATGAGGACTAAATATCACACCTATAGTCTAATGGCACACATTATAAATCTTCCCAGTGCTTGGGCAATGTCAATCTGGCTGCAATGAACAAGTGGCCAATTAATTGTTTAGCTTTTTTTATTTATTTCAATATCCAAGAGCTTTTAGCTTGCTTGGACAAAGGGATGTGAATGCTTCAGTAAATGGAAAGCCAGATGATGATCCCAGACAAAGCCACTAAAATCTTTTTTTGAAAAACTTTAAAATACAGTGGTACTTCGGGTTAAGTACTTAATTTGTTCCAGAGGTCCGTTCTTAACCTGAAACTGTTCTTAACCTGAAGCACCACTTTAGCTAATGGGGCCTCCTTCTGCCGCTGTGCCGCTGGAGCACGATTTCTGTTCTCATCCTGAAGCAA